AAGGAGTTATAAGTCAATATGTGAATTTGTGGGTACATCACCCCTTGATCAATATTAGCCTGTTAGTCTTTCTCTCCAATCTCTCCTAACTTCACTCATCCCTTCAATTTTCTTAGTTTCATAGGATATACGTTGAATATTATAATTAACTTTTCTGCTTACATTATATTCTTTTAAGTCATATTCTATTTCTGTCTAACAATACCTTGGTTCTCTCACTCAATGAGGTTTGAAAGTGTTCAGGTATCTGGGAATGAAATTTACTAAACCTTTCAAGAGCTCCACTCAAAGTGGAATTAGTTAATTTGCATATTGTGATTTGACTTGCACAACTCCATTTATTTGATGGGAAGGGTAGGGTGTGTGCAATTGGGTAGGGTGAGACCTTCCGGTAGTCTGAGGAAGGAGGGCCTTAGAGTGAAATGCCGGTGGTATACGTCCTCACCTTTTCTATATTCTCTGTCTCCTGGTACTGCCAAACCAAGGCAACATTTATACACCAGAACCAAACAAACAATAAATATTTCATGGGAAGGTCAGTAGGACCAAGTGAAATTAAGAAAGTCTTCAGGGCAGCTGAGGAAATAATATCCAGATAATGTATGAATTACATTATTGTAATGAATTTGGTGAAACTAATCATCTCAAGTAAATATTAAAATAGGCTACATTTTACTGAAACAGAAATTTCCTCCCTCCCTTCTTTCATTTATTGCTCTTTCTTTTTCTTCTTTCCTTTTTTATAGAAGAACTTTTAAAAGTGGGAAGAGGAAAAAGGCAACCCATAAGTGTTTATTTTCTCAGTACTGGCATCTTGGACTGATCCACTAGAACTGGAATTATGGCAAGAAAATCCACTCTTCCAAGAGTACTTTTTCCAAGCAAAATAAGTCATGGGCTTAGTGGTGGGTGAAATAGAGAATATTTCAAATTCCTTGAAACATCTCAGAATTGTTTTTTTTTTAAGTGGGTCTTGGAAATACCTTCGACATGCTTTTATCCAAGTATGTAATCCCTTGAGAACTATGTACATATAAAGACGTTTGATTTCTTAATCAAAGACATATGAAAGGTACTTTTGGAAACTTATAAACCTTTTTAAAGTACTTGCTTTCTAACTCAATTTAGCAAAAAAAAAAAAAAAAACCCAACACTACAAAAACATACAGATAGCCAGAGAATAAATACTCAATATCCTTAGTGCAAGGGAAATGCCTGGAAAAACTATAAGGAGACACTTGGGAACTAGACAACTACAATGAGCAATGCAGACATCATAAATGCTGAAGAGGATGTGGAGTAACTAAAACTCTTATAGATTGCTTGAGGAAATGCAGAAAAGAACACTAGGCAAAAACAGATGTATGTCTTCCCTGGAACCTATCAATTCCAATTTAGGTATTTACCTGAAAGAATTTTAAAAATTGTATCTATAAAAATCCTTTACAACAAAGTGTATTAAATCAATATGAATTTTAAAAAACAAGATAATGGATCAGAATATTCACAAAAAGGAACACTACTCAGGAATGGAAATAGGATCAACCACTGATACCCATGTTATGTGAGTCTATTTACATGGAATTACAGAGTAGGCAAAACAAAGTCAGTAGCTAAGTAAAATACTTTGTGGGATGATAAAGTATATTTTTGATACCATGAAGTATATGATTCTACACATTTTATGCAGATGATTTTATACATTTATACATTTTATATATCACTCAAAATATGGATATAAGGTCTGTGCACTTTATTGTGCTTAAATTATATCTTAACTTTTTATATTTAGGACTAGACACCAGTGGCTTACACCTGTAATCCTAATCCTGGTTTGAAGTCAGCCTCATCAGAAAAATCTGAGAGACTCTTATCTCTAATTAACTAGAAAAAGCTGGATTGAAGGTATAGCTCAAGTGGTAGAGCACTAATTTAGCAAGCATAACGCCTTGAGTTCAAATCCTAGTATTACCAAAAAACATTAAAGTAAAAGGAGAAGTAAGTTATTTCTCAGATTTAAAAATCACTTTGTATTTAAAACCAAAGTAAAAACTTTTAAAATACAATGTCTTAATTTAAGCACAAAACTTTGTCTAATGATAAAGTTTTGTATGAAGCTAATAGAGTAAATACTTATGATAAGCAAACATGATTTATATGTGATTCAGAATCATATTTCAGTGTTTGGCATGGTTCTTAGCACATTCACAGTGCCAAATACACGTGTTAGGTTTAAGAATGAATGAACAGTCATCATATAAAAAATGTATCTAATTTTTCTATTTGTTCGGCCAATGGAGATGGTATACCAGTGGAGATTGTCATGTCTGTTTTCCTCTGCCTAGATCTCTGCTCTTTCTCTCTCTCTTTGGCCTTCTAAGACAGTGATTCTCAAAATTGAGAGGGCTAAAGAATCATCTGGAACCTCCATCCCACTTTCCAGAGTGGTTGAACATGTTTATATTCTCACCAACAGTGTAGTAGCATTCCCTTTTGGCCACATTCTGCCAGCATCTATTATTGATAATGGCCATTCTAACTTGAGGTGAGGTGAAATCTAAATGTTGTTTGGTTTGCATTTCTTTTATAGCCAGAGATATGTAATATTTCTTCATGTGCCTATTTCTTCTGAGGAGTCTCTCTTTAAGTCTTTAGCCCATTTTTTTTATTGAGTTGTCATTGTTGTTGAAGGTTTATTTTTAGGGGAGAGGTAATTTTTGAGTTCTAAGTATATTTTCCTCAAAAGATTAAACACAGTATTTCCTGTGACCCAGTAATTCCACTCCTGGGCATTTATCCAATAGACCATAAACAAGGTCACACTAAAGCTGCCAGAACCATCATGTTCATTGCAGCATTGTTTACCATAGTCAAGACATGGAATCAACCCTGATGCCTTTCATCAGACAAATGGATGAAGAAAACACAATGGAACTCTATGCTTCCACCCGAAAGAATGATATTGCACCACTCATAAGGAAATGCAAAGACTAGGAAAAATTATATTAAATAAAGTAAGCCAGACCCAAAGAAATGTAAGTTGAATGGTTTCCCTTGTAACTAGAAAGTGCCTATAAATCTATAAGCAAACACACTGGATGGTAAAAGACAAAAAAAATACATTTGGACATGATAAATTATATAGGATTCTAGACATTCACACAGTGAGCTCAAAGAAAGATATTCTTAAGAGAGGATCACAAAGTTTCAATAGTTATGATCCTATGATTGTATAAAATAAAGTTTACTAAAATGAAGTCCAAGAAATAGAAACAAGAGGTTTTATGTTATTTTGTTTCTTGTTTTTCCCCCTTGTTTGTTGCTATGTTTTATTTCAGCACCTCTTGTCTTATAGGTAAGTTTATCTGTGTGGGGGAGGGTAATGAGGAGCACAGAAAGAGTGGGACAAAGGATGAACAAGTGCAGTAGTGGGACTCACTAGACACTATGTTGAAAATGAACTCTACAACTTGTTGGGGCTAGGGGTGGAAACTGGGAGAAAACAAGGGAAGAGGTGGCATGTTTCACAAAGAAACATACTCATTACCTGACATGTAACTGTAACCCCTCTGTACAGCATCTTTACAATAACAATAATTAAAATTTAAATGTAATTCAATTTTAAATTTAAATTTAAAAATTAAAAAAGAACCATCTGGCCAAGTGTCGGTGGCTCACAACTGTCATCCTGGCTACTCAGGAGGCTGAAAACTGAGGATCGCTGTTCAAAGCCAGCCACCACAGGAAAGTCCTTGAGACTCTTATCTCCAATTAACCACCAGAAAACCAGAAGTGGCGCTGTGGCTCAAATGGTAGAGTGCTTGCCTTGAGCTGAATAGCTCAGGGACAGAGCCAGGCCCAGAGTTTAAGCCCTAGGACCGAAAGAGGAGGAGGAGGAGGAGGAGGAGGAGGAAGAAGAAGAAGAAGAAGAAGAAGGAAAAGAAGAAGGAAAAGAAAAGAAAAGAGAAAATTAGTACTATCTGGATGGTGTGTTAAAACACACATGGCTGAGACTCAGCCTCAGACTTTCTAATCTGGTAACTCTGGAGGCAAGCAGAGAACTGTATTCCCAGAGACCTGTATTTGTAGCTGGTTCCCAAGGGATAGAACTGGGGATGTTGCTTGGTGGGAGACACCACACTTGGAGGACTATTGCTTCGTGTACTTATTGATCAGATCAAGGACTTTCGGACTTTCCAACTTGTAACCATCTTTCCCAGCCCTTTCCTCTGAGCTTTATCACATAAAATGCTGTAGCATTGGGCTGGGAAGGTGGCTCAGTGGTAGAGCGCTTGCCTTGCATGCCTGAAGCCCTGGGTTCTATTCCTCAGCACCACATAAGCAAAAAGAAAAAAGCTGGAAGTGGCTCTGTGGCTCAAGTGGTAGAGCGCTAACCTTGAGCTGAAGAGCTGAGGGACAGCGCCCAGGCCTAGAGTTCAGGCTCCACGACCGGACCCCCCCAAAAAAAAGCTGTAGCATTGTAAGTGTGTATTTGCTACTGGTTCTTTCCCCCTTGGTTTTTTCCCCTTATTTGGAAGAAAACTTATCTACTTATGAAGATCATATCTTCATACCTCTAGAGGAAGATCACATCCTAGATATCCTGACTTACATGTCTGTTCTCTGCAGCACTTCCTAGGTGATAAGTAGTTGTAAATGCTAAAGATCTTAACATTTATACACTCTGTTGAAACATGCAAAACAAAATAAACATGAGGGTGTGAGTGCTTGAAAGGTGTGGGTCGTTGAGGAGAGAGGGATTGACAAATGAAGAGGAGAAGAGGGAGAAGGCAGTATAATCCTACAAAATTAAGAAGAGTGAGGGAGGGGGTGGGTAGAGGAATGACATCAATCAAAATATATTGTATTCATAAAGGTTAAATGGCAACTCGTTTGTACAACTATTTAAAGATAATAAAAGTAAATTTAAAAAACACTGTTCATACAAGTGCAAACATTTTGGTAATAAAAAATTAACATGTTCTATTAGGATGCATTACCTGTCATTGGGACACTGACTTGGCAATGTCCAGTCATGATGAGGATTGATGAGGAAACCCCAGGACAGGAAGACTGAGCTTGGTGTAAGCGTGCCAACCACCAGCTGGAGAGGTTTGCGAGGGCGAGATTTACCTAGGGATAGAACATGCAGGTGAACTCCAGAAGCATTTAGTGTGCTTGTAAGTCTTCAAAAAAAAATGCCTAAACCTCACTTGGACAGATGATTTTAAAAAATCTGGAAAAAATCAAAATATAATATTCATTAAAATAAATTATAATAATTTTTGTCCATGAATTTAAACCTAAACCAAATAGAATGTTTAAGCAGATTTATGTATGCACATATATATTGTACATGTGTATATACCTAAACCATGTCCGACTGTATTTAGATTTCATTTGTTCTGAGTTATAGGTGAGCATGATGGTCTTGACTGTTTAGTGATGCAAACACATATATGCATACTGAAGTGCATATGTACATACACACATACCACTCATGTTTCTTTCATAGATAAAAGCATTGTTTTCCCCAACACCAGGATGGTGAGTAGGAAATATTACATAAAAAGAGGGAAGAGCACTTATCATAGAGATGGTAGCCATTTAGAAGCTGGGCACTAGTAATTCATTTCTGTAATCCTAGGTACTATGGCAGCTAAAGTTCAGGAGGATCACAATTGCCAGCCAGCCTAGGCAAAAAAAGTTTCCAACCCCGTCTCAAATGAAGAAGTTGGACATGGTGGTGTACGCTTGTCATTTTAATTGTAGTGAGAAGCATAAATTGGCAAATTTTGGTGCAGAAAAAAAGTGAGACCTTATTTTAACCAGTGCAAAATAGGATTAGATGTATGGCTTCATTATCACCAAAATTAAAAAAAAAAATAGAAGTGTGAAATCTCTTGACGTAGTCTTGTAATGGACATACGTTGTACACTATGCCACAATGAAAAAGGTGGGCACATTGTTAAGAAAGGTGGAAGAAAAGGATAATACACTGGATTGGGGCTGTGGCAAGAGTCATCTTGATGAATCATTAGAGATTCTTTAAGTACAGAGGGGTAGTAGGCATTTGCATGCTCAAAATCATTTGAACTATTAGAATAAGAAGATGCGGAGGGGGGGAAGATAAACCTTATCTGCTGGCTCAATCAGGGTAAATGAAATAAAAATCCTAAAAGCAGCCCAGGAAAATTGCCTAGAGCTAACATTAAACGTACATAACTTCCTAATGCCATTCAGTTCTCTCGTAATTGGATGAGACTAACTATGCTGCCTTTGCTACAGGAAAAACTGTATTATCTTAATCCAGTGGAGTGGGAGCCAAATAGAAAAAACTAATTTCACTTAAGGCCAGAAGGAGGGCATCCATTGTATAGCCAACTGGCAGTTATCTAAATCAAATGCTTTTGTTTGTACAACTGGTTTATATTCTGTAAATATTTATTCTGATAAATCTTTTGCATTCAGAATGTGTGTGTGTGTGTGTGTGTGTCTATGTGGCAGCAAAGTTCCTCATTGTACTATAGTAGGCTGATTTAACTGATATATAAAAACGGTATGTATTTATGGGGTGCCTTGTAATGTTTCAGTAGCTGTCTGCCTTTTGTAATGTTTAAATAAGGTAGACTTATTTCCTTAAACATTTGTCATTTCCTTATGCTGAAATCCTGCTGTGCCTCTGAAGGGGACTGTGGTGTCTCAGTCCCTTCCTCTTTCTCTCTTTTGGCATTCTGGCCCTAGATTGGCATGATGCTCTTCCAACTGCTTTAGGGCCAACAGATTGTGGACTGATACCTCTACAAATTGTGAGTCGCAATGATTCTTTTCTTGATCACCTCAGACCTTTGTTATAATAACAGAAAATGGACTAATATATGTAGTCACCCACTGTGCTGCAGAGCTCCAAGTTCTCCTAACAAGGATAGTTGACTTTTAACCATGGTCTGAAATAATTTACATTTCCTTGTTTGCAAGTATACATTCATTCCTTCCCTGAAAATTTTTCCAGATCCATCTGTAATCATGCCTCATGTGGTAATGACTTGAATGGTTCACATTCAGGCTCCAAGGAAGGATGATGAGACTCTTGACTGAGGGTAATGAGCACATATAGTTTGAAAAAACTAGAGAGAGGGGATTCTGCTATTCTTTTTTCCATCACTTATTTGATTTTTTTTGGTTTTTGTTTTGGTAGCCTACGGCTGGAACTCAGGGCCTGGGCATTGTCCCTGAGCTTCATTTGCTCAAAGTTAGCACTCTACCACATGAGCCACAGTGCCACTTCCAGCTTTTTCTGCTTATGTGATACTGAGGAATTTAACCCAGGGCTTCCTACATGCTAGGCAAGCACTCTATTGCTAAGCCACATTTCCAGTCCCCACTTATTTGATTTTTTACCACAATAATATTTTACAGATGAAAAATAGGATCCAGAGAAGTCTCAAAGGGGTGTAAATCACATGTAAAACAAAACAAAACAAAACTCTCACATTTAGGTCTTCTCAATCATTTTCTAGTTTGCTCTTTATTATATATCAATGACCTAATTCATAATATACAAAGATAATGTTAATTAAAGATAACAACAGTGTATTTTTGTTTCTAAGGGATCTACAGGTATGTACAACCAGTTATTTCACTAAGTCTTAGATCTTCATATAAAAATGACAAAGTAAGTAGAATTTATGTGCTGATGCAAATAGAAATTGAAAGGAAGCTAATCCATTAGTGATTACATTACTCCCACATGAACATTATGAAAACAAAAATTATGTCTGTTGCCTGAAAGGAAAGGTGGGGTATCATATCCTGAGCAAGATGAAACAATTTCCTGAGCTAGTCATAATGAAGTAGGAAAAAATGACTCTAAGGCTAGTGTCATAGAAGCCTCAATGCAAAATTATAAAATATTACTAATGTGTAATGACAGTCTTGACTTCCCTTATATATTTTCCTTTATTTGTGTTGTGATCCTATTAGATTGAGAAACAGTTCAATGAATATTCTTATGAAACCAGATTCTAATATACCACATGAATGCTTTCTTACTTTATTGTTGAGTTATTTAAAAATACAAGTCTTGAAATTCTGGCAGTATAATTATTATAAAAGAAAAAGAAAAGATAATCAAAACTCCAATGAACTATATCTGCAGAGATAGGAAGACACTGCAACTTATAGAAAAAGCGTATTTCACAGCTTCTACTGACTTTTCTTTAGATTAATATTTTTTATTTGACAAAAAATCTTAATAGTCAACAGACCATGGTTTAATCTTCCTTTGGTCATGTAGATACATCCAGCATGCTTGCATATAAATGAGTTAACTATTTTCTATATAAATGTCTCCTTAGCTGGGCACTGGTGGCTCACACCTGTAATCGTAGCTACTCAGGAGGCTGAGATCTGAGAACTGTGGTTCAAAGCCAGCTGGGGAGGGAAAGTCCATGAGACACTTACCTCCAATTACCCTCCAGAAAACCGGAAGTGGTGCTGTGGCTCAGAGTGGTAGAGCAAAAAAGCTCAGGGACAGAGTGCCAAGGCTGAGCTGAAGCCCCACAACCAACATTAATTAATTAGTCAATTAATAATCTCCTTAAGTAAATGTTAGACACTTCACCCATAAAGCCCAAATGTCATAATACCTGGTAAGAAGTCACACACTACAAAACAGAAAGGGATTAACAGGAGCTAGCACCAAATGAGCATTGACCTCAGGCCAGGCATTGTCATTAACTCAATCTTCTAAGCAATCTTATTGTGCAATAGAACCAAGCCTAAACTGTATTCAGTAATTTGACTGAACCTCATCTGTTTGGGCACAAGATGCTGGGTAGATTCTTCTACCCCGGGGTAGATGGCTTCTCTAGGTAAATTGTCAACTGAGGGCTTGCGTCTCTCTGTTCTATGCATTCCTGACACCTCCAGGACATTTGGTCACTGTGTAGGGCAAAAGATGAAAATTGATAGTTTAAAGTTACTAAAAGAAAATCAGAGAAAATGACAATACCTGAGCATGACTTCTTTTGACTTGGAGGAGGAGCAGGTCGCACAACTATCAGATATTTCGGTTCTGCATCTGAAAATATTGTAAGATTTAGCAGCAAAATACTTGAAGAACCAACAATGAGGTTACATACCCATGTTCTGACTCAGCATTCACTTGCATTAGTTATTCTCCATAACTGAAGGACCAGTGAATGGGAAGACGTAGGAAATAGGAAGAGTTAATACTATGGGAGATGTCCATGAAATTTAACTAGAAATTAAAAGCTCAATGGGCAAGGGAGGGAAGGAACTCTTTAAAAGTTATTTCAGGATTTAGGTCACGTTTTTATCATTCTTTTTATTATAGAATTTTTTTCATTCCGGTCATATCTATCCTGTCTACAGGCTCCTCATAGATGGGCAGATTGATATTTCAAAGTCAGAGAAAAAAGTCATTTTTTTCAGAAGACATGTAGATACCATTTGTCTACAGCCTAAAACTTAAAAGTCTTACTTATTAAGCCTTACTTAATTTTTCCTGTGTTTATATAATTTCTCATACTGTTTTCATGTCCGACCAGTCATTTTTACTGAACAAATTTTGAAATCATAGTGTATTACTTGTCTTAATATATACATATTAATAAAATGTTAAAATTTTAACGGGTTTTAAATAAAATGTTAATATCACTTAGTGTGTGCAAACCCAATAAGGGACTAATTATAAAATAAATTTTAAAAATAGATACATTCAAGATAAATAGTTTATCATTAAGCATATTTAAGTTAATCTGGTATGTCTAGGGCATATAAAATACCATCATATCAGCAGTTCTATCTCATTACCTGGTTAATGGGTATTATATATGATATTTCCACATCAGGAAATTCATTTCTCACCAAATTTTCTTTGGATATGTAGTCACCTAGAGTTCAGTTTACCTGCTCATTCAGAACACATTTGTGTCATTGTTTTGCTTATTATGAGTTTAAATAATTCTCTTTCATGAGTTTGGAATAGAAATCTTCTTGCCCTAGGCTCTACAGAGCTAATTTCATTTTCAATTGAGACCACCCTTTTTTTATTGGACATGCCACACAGCACCCTTTGCTAAAACCTTCTACGACTGTAGAAAACAACCCCGACAACCTCTTAAAGAACCCCAGGCTATGTACCTGCGGATCACATTGTCTCCAGACCACCAAACAAATCAAGGGGCATTCATGCAATCCCAGACCCCATGTGGCTCTAAGTGTATTTTGCTAACTGGGATTCATAGAAGGAACATGCCATCAAATCAACCAAGTAGGAATATACTAATTATTGCTTGATTTTCTTAGGAAAATGCAGGTACTAACAAGCTAAGATCTATGGAGTGTTTCCTGTGTGAAAATACTGTTAAAAGCTTTATATTCATACCATAATTACTCCCCTTGACCATCCTGGCATTGCTGTTACTCCAGCTGGTAATCGTGAGAGCACTAAGGCAGGGTCCCCTGCGGCTGAATCAGCTCACAGACAGCCACTATATGCAGAGACCCGTTACTATCTTGAAATATTTCATATTTTATTTTTGAACCCGTGCTTTAAAAGAGAAGGCTGATGGGACAATGTAGCACGATGTAAAGGCAGTCGGAACGTGCTGGTGTGTGGATTTTTGCCTTCCCTTTGTATCCCAGGTGACTCGTTAGCGTTTATTCTGAAGACTCTTAATGAGCAGCAGGACTCAAGTAGAATTGGGCAAATGTCACACTTCCAGCGGACATGCCACACTGCTCATTTGAGCCAGACCTGGCTTCACATGGAGTAAGAAGGCAAGGTGATTTAAAAAAAAAAAAAAACCAAGCCACACGAAGGATCCCTCTCTCACCCCTGTTAGTTCCCTGTATTAGCCAACCCTCTTGCTGGCAATAGTAACATGGAAGGAAATAACAAGATGGGCAACTCATAATTACTCTTCAGCTCTTCCTCACTCACAAGTCAATAACAAAGTAATGTGAAATACCATGCTGACACTCCTTGGTACAAGTAATATACATTAAAATAATGAATGGGAGAATGAGAGAGTAAAACAAGTGGATGGGTATCAGCAGGAGTGGGAGGGTGAATGAAGAGAGCAAATGGGAAAGAATTTGGTTGTAAGACTTCATTGTAAGTATGACAATAGAACATTGGAATGATTTTAAATTGTTTTAAGAAGGAAGCGAGGAGGACAAGGGAGAGCGGGAGAGCATGAGGCTGCGGGTACATTGCATGCATATATGGAAATGCTACAGTGAAATCCCCTGTACAACAAATGTATGCTAATAAAAATTTAAATAAATAAACCTCCTCAGCTTGCACTTCCGGAGTTGATGGACCATAACTCTTCTCGCTCAGAATGTCAGATGACATTGATTAACATATTTTAATAGAATATGTTTAATATGCTAATAGAATATCATGAAGTATAAGGCTAAGAAACATTTAAAGTTTAATATTGAGAAAATTCTCTTTTTTTAACTCTACAGGACATTTGCAAAATTATCACTAGCTGAATATAAAAATTAGAAGCAAAAGTTTAACATGCAAACCAGACATATGAACATTCAGAATAGGAGTAAAAATAGAGTTCACAGGAATCTGTGAAATATGAACCATGTGTTTTCACCTTAGTTCAGGGATTTGGGGGCCATTAATATTTGTTGCTAGCCACATGGGAGAATAGTACATTTTTTACAAGTTCCAGTTAACCTACTGCAGCCTTAGATCAATGTTTACAGAAATTTCATATGCACATGAATTCCAGAAATGGGAAAAGGAAATATTTAATGTTTTTTCTTTATATTTTTGCATGTAAAACCAGTAAATGACTTTTAAAAACACCTGTCTACATTCAGCAGGCAGATTCTAACGTAAGTATAAAGAGCGTTTTAAGTAATCAGTAGGGAATTAGTCCAGAGACACTGCATATTAACTTGAATATTTCTGAATAATGAACAGCTTCTCATTTCACAATGAAATACCATGATAAACAAGATTGCTTACATTTTAATCACCTAATCAATGACAAAGGAGAATTAAGGTTACAAGTAGAATTAGGGTTGCTAATCAGCTGACCTAAAAATAGGGACAGTATCCTGGATTATCCAGATGGGCTCAATACAGTCACAAGACTTCTTAGAAGCAGAAATGGAGGAGGCCAGTGTTGGGATGTGATAAAAGGTGAGCTTTGTTCACTGTTAACTTTGAGGTGGAAAAAGAATGCAGGCTGCTTGAAGAAGCTGGATAGTGCTAAAATACCAGATTCTCTCTTCCATGCCTCCATAAAGGATTGCAGCCCCACCTACAGCTTATGTGTAGCTCACGGAAGCTCACCTTACACTTCTGACCAACATCTGAAAATAATACATTTCTAATGTTTAAGTCACCAACTCTGATGTAAGATTACAGCAGTAGCCCAAACCTAATGTATAGCTCTTAATCAACTAGAAACAACTAATGCAAATACATTAATGGAAAACTCTAAGTAATCATTTAAGTAACCAAAAGAGTGACATTTAACGTGGTACACAAGTCCATTTTTGAAGTGATAAATATAGAAGCACATACATTCTTTGGTATAAGGAAATACTGGAAAGGAAGCATGTACGAGGGTTGTTTTTCTGCTTCTGCTATAGAAAGGGTATGAATATTTTTAAAAACAACTATTTAAAAAAAAACAGGTAAGAGCTTTAAAAAATATGCTACTTGGAATGGCCTCCTAGGAAATCTAGAATCTTTGTGTCAACATTCTTAAGAACACACAATAACTAGTCTACGTTGTAGTCTACCTGAATGGCTTTGAAATGTACTTGTCTGATGACAGAGCTCATAGAATTTTTTGTGGTCTAAATATTTCACACAGATTTGAGTCTAGTAGATTCTATGACACATATATTTACTGCCTGTCTACTCAATATGAATCATTTGGATATGAATAACCAGGGAACAAGACATAAGCCTAGGCTTTCAGCAGCCCACAATTTACTAATCAAAGTAAATAAACAATCATACTCAAGTTAGAAAAAGTTGAAAATTTGAAGGATGGGTAAGATATTGAAATAAACATTACTTTATGGAATCAATCTATTCTTATTGATCCTAAAACAGTATCATTACTTGTCAGAGTTTATCAATTTACCAACTTATCATAACAAGAATCTAGCCTATCTTTTCCAAAAACTTATTTTACAATCAAATAGATGAGAAAAAGAAAATTCTTCAGTATCATCAGCTCAGAAAGAGAAAGAACAATAGAATTGGAAAACTGACATTTTACAGCCTCCATACAATCATAGATTTAGGAAATAATCATCAACAAATGCTAAAGCAATTAGGTGAAAATATGATGGATAATTTTATAAGCAATCAGGCTAAACCCTCCTAAATATACCAAACAAGTAGCCAGCCTTAGGATCACTAAATAAGACAGTCATTAAGTCTCTTTATATGTTACTGAGAAGGACACCATTCAACTTTTGAAATATTACTTTCTTAAAAAGACTAAATCCAAATCTGGTACAGCTTCTTCATCTAAATATCTTTTCACAGGAAATTATGGGTCAGTTAAAAAAAATAAAAGATCTAGGAAGCAAACAGATAAATGTAGGATATGGCTATTTACCACAATAAATGGCCCAATTTCTCTAAACTCAATCATACTCTATAAGAGAAGGAAGTCATTAGACACTATGTTGAAAATGAAACGAATAACTTTGGGAGAGGGAGGCCAGGAAGGAAAAACTGGGAGGAAACGAGGGAAAAAAATGACAGTATTCAAAAATAAAAATGTGCGATTGGGTGGGGGGGGGGGGGGGGGAGAGGATGGGCAGGGATGGGAAGGGGAAACAAAGGAGGAGGCTACAATGCTTGATAAGAAATGTACTCATTATCTTGCCCATGTAATTGTAACCCCTCTGGAAGGTATTCTCACAATAAAAAAAAAATGTGCTCATTATCTGACTTATGTAACTCTAACTCCTTTGTACATTACCTTTACAATAAAGGAATAAAAATAGCCAGACACCAATGGCTCACACCTATAATCCTAGCTACTCAGAAAGCTGAGATCTGAGGATTGTGGTTCAAAGCAAGGCTGGGCAGGAAAGTCCGTGAGACTCTTATCTCCAATAAACCACTAGAAAACCAGAAGTGGCGCTGTGGCTCAAACGGTAGAACACTAGCCTTGAGCTGAAGAGATAAGGGACAGCTCCCAGGCCCAGAGTTCAAGCCCCATGCATGACTGGCCGAAAAAGAAAAAGAAAAAAGAAAGAATAAAAATAAAGGGGAAAAAAGAGAAAAGGAAGAGATTTAGAAAGATAAAGTTTATAGAAAGACTTTTAAGTAATAATCTTAGCAGTTCAACAAAATAGAAATCTTGCCTTGTATTTTGAAGGCATTCACAGTAGAATATTTTTAATTCTTTCTTTTTATTGTCAAGATGATGTGCAGAGGGGTTACAGTTACATAAGTAAGGTAATTAGTACATTTCTTGTCAAACTCGTTACCCCTTCCCTCATTTTTCTCCTACTTTCCCTCCCCCTCCCTCCTCCCTTTAATTCTTTTAAGAGAGTTTAATTTGAAAGTATTTTTATTAGAGTAGGCGTGAAAGTGACCTATCTTCTCAAATTTCATTTTGAATGGATTAAAATATTTGTAAGACATTTCAATTTTTATAATGCATACAGAAAAGCTTGAATCTTTTTGTGTGAAATATGCTCGAAACTTTGAAAAATGTAATGCATTTGCTGTTTCAATGTACCATCTCATGAAGAGACAATAAAAGAAATCTATAGTTGTTTTCATCCATTAAAAGAAAGTACAGACAGCAAGAAGGAAAATGAATCTCCATAAACAAACTATGTTTCAGAGGCTTAAGTGTAGGTATTTCAGTTAATTTTTCCTTATGCAGTAGGTTATATGGCCAAGGATTATGGGCACAATGAACATAAAAATAATTATTTCTACTTGCAATTAAAATTTTAATGTAAAGAATCACATTGTGGTTTGCAACAGATGGTTTTGGTTTAGTTAAGGAAGATGAAGATGGTTCGAACATGCAACTCTGCGTCATGTTGTATCTATTACCTATTTCCTCCCTTCCATAAGTCTGATTCTCACACATCTTACCTACTACAGCCTCGGTGTATTTTCCTTCCGTGGGAAGAGGGAAGTATTGGTTTGGAGATAAGTTGCTGCCATATCCCAGGAGAAAACCTTCAAGCTTTGTGTTTGGACTTGGGCGCAGGAACTTCAAGAAAATGGAGTCACTTGTGGTGTTGATATGGACTCTCAGGTTTGGCTTTTTACCTAACCATGGGAACAAAAAAAATGGGCTGTTACTTTATGACTTTTGCATTCTCCTAAAGTTCTCTGCCAAGGTTGGTTGTCAGAGACCTTCTCCTTAGAAAGCATGCATCCTCCTGAGTGGCATCCTATTCAGGATCACAGTGCATTCACGAGCACACACACACACACACACACACACACACACACACACACACACACACAAAGCGGGCTGTGTAGCACGTAAAGCAGCCTAGAATTAGGGGGGAAACCAAAACAGTTGTAAGAGTTCAATACTTAGTAATGTATCATTGAGCAAGTAGGTGGATTTTAGACCTTTGTTGGCAGTGGACAGTTGGCCAGAATCTTCTTTTTATATGCATTATACAGATATGGTAAAAGCCCTGAAGCTTCTTTTTGGTAAAACTGAATTACTGTACCTTCAAAACTCCCAACCTTATCAGAACTGCTCTTCAGTCCCCAAACCCATAGTCTTCATCATTGACAGACATATCTCTAGCACAGAGATAAAATAGATGGTAAAACAAAGACACTGAAGGAAAAGAATGCGTATGAAGAAAGATGATTGGTTCCACTGGGAGTTCAGTGGGTTGGTGAGGCAGCTACATGCAGATGTTCAATGTGAGTGTGATACAGACCTACAGACCCGTTAGGGTGTCATTAGCTGGTCACTAGTAATTGGATGAGAAGAATGGCTTTAATCAAGACCTTAAAAAACAAAGCAAAGAATCATACCAACTGGTAGCCTTTATCAAACAATGAGAAAACATTTGTTTTTTTTTGTCTCAGGAGCCAGAAGGGCACTAACTCTAGCTTATTACGGTGGCCAACCTGCGATTTCCTCAGTGCGCTGGAGATCTAGTTTCCTGCTTTGTAAATGAAGGACAGCTACCTTCTGGTTTGGTTATTTACATGTTAGGGAGCTGGCACAATTATACAGCTGGCACAAAGCAATTGCTCAATAAATGCTTACTAATACGGGTTCATAATCCTTTAGCCATCATTCATAAAGACAAAAAGCTTGATGTTTTTCTTCTAAGTTCTTCTCAAAATAATACAACCACTGTGAACGATCATTGAGTCCATTTAGTTCTCTTTCTTTTAAGTGTCAGCAAGCTTCTTTTAGTATAACATACAAAGTAGGAAGAAATGGAAAAGAGAAAAAATATGTTCTGCTCCCCACAAAGGAAGTAGCTTTCCATTTCCTCTTCAATCCCAATCAATGGGCCTATTCACATTTATCTTCAGAAATATGCTTAGGAAAGTCAGCAAGTGTCGCTTGCTGATCAAGACCCCAATGAAAAAAATTATATGGTAGAAACCCTAAAGCCCCAAGTTTTTGATTTTCAAAATACATCTCACCCCAAGGGTTAGTCAAGTTTATTTTCCCTATTACCACAGATTTAGTGATTTCAAGATAGTTTTGCCTGTTGGGAAGACTTTATTTACTGACTTAATAATGCCAGTTCTATTTGTTATTAACCAAAGTCATATGTTGACTATATACCATCGATACAGCATGAGCTCACCAAGGTTTCACTCCAAGTGTATTCTGTTTTAGTCCAGATCACTCTGGACAAGCTGGATCAATATAGGGACATAACATGATTTTATTAAGCCTTTAAAAAAAGAAAACCATCTCATTCATAGACATGAAGTTAGAAATCACTCATCTCAAAAGCCAGGACTACACGTTATACACATATTACTTCATATTTACCCCAAACTTGAAATTTTTCTAAGCTTTTGGATCCTCAGATTACTATTCTTAGGTCTGTGTAAAACTGAAACCCATCAATACTGAGTTGCTTACTCAAAGTCTAAAAAAGGTATTTCACAGCTAATTTAGTTTAATTCTTCCAAATGAGGTGTGTTTGACCTTTCTCACCAGCATGGGACATGCAGGGTCAAAACTAGATCTTAGTTTCTCACCAGACTGGATTTGCCTGCTCTCATTTTCACTGAGACCTTTATCATCATTCAGCAGCATAAGGAGTAGCCAAACAGGCTATGATGCTCAAGCTAATGCTAATCACTGATACTTTTGCAATGTATTAATTTCACAAGAGTTTGATAAGGAGATTTATCCTTCAGATAAAACACAGATTTTTGTCCAACCCCATTTTCCCCATGATCCTATGTTAACTCCCCAGTTGCCCTTCATGACCAAGAGAAAGGAACAAATGTAAGTCAAAATATTCTGCTGGTTTAGAACGATATCAGGTCTCACATGGAGTCAAACACAATCTGTTTCCAACACATTGTTGGGTTGAAAACAGTAAAGAATTTTAGTATACTCCCACTTGACTAAGAGCAGAGGGTCACAGCATCAGCATCACATTAGACTTTTGCTCATGAACTCTGCCTGACACACCACATTCATTCTACAATGGAAAATGGAAGGGATGTCTACACCAAATGGGAAGACCATAATGTGACTCTGAATCAACCAAGGTAGAAGTTATCAACCCCCACAGAGGACTTTTCATCACCCCTGCCTTCCTGTCTTTGGTTAGCAATTTATGCCAATGACTACATCAACATTACATAACTTATAAAACAAACTTTCATTAGTAACCCCACTCTGTCCAAAATTCCAATTCTATCTCTACAGTTAAAATTTTTAATATACTGAAAAAGAGAAATATCACCTCATCAGAACATCACAAAGTAAAGATAATCCTCCCAGTTCTTTATTTAGGATCTGAAATCCCTTCATTTTCTCGCCATATATTACTTCCTCTGTTATTACTTCTCCACCTGTCTCATTTGATTTGGGCCAAATCCGTTCACAGTCTGCAATGCATTCTTCATCTTGGGCTCACAACTTTGCTCACAGTGTTCACTCAGTACAGATCCTCTCTATCTTTGCTTTACCTTTTCCACATATCTTCATTTAGTTATTAATCCATGGATTCAGTAGTCAGAAAGCAGATAAACAAGTTTTATTTCCCCTTTAGGCCAAATATGTTGCCAAATGATGTTCCAAGTGAGTATTTGACTATTAAATGAAAGCTTCTACTCTTGGATAATTTCTCAGTGTATATATAGGCCCATATAATTTTTACTTTTTAATGACATAATATCTTTACTCTGAATAAATGATATAATATCTTTACTCTGAATAAATAAGAAATGATGCTTGTTTGAAGCCCAAATCATTAAATGTGGCATGTACTAGCAAGTATCTTTTAACAATTAGTTAGACTTCTGATAAGTGACTTCTGATAAGGGATTGTGGTAATATATACAATTTTTTACAATCTATAAGTAGTATAGCATGTCAAATACGAAACCCCTAAAATCCTAGGATTACAGTGAAATAAGTTACTGGAAGAATATTTTATTATATTTTAATGTAGGAATCAAAGCATATGGCAAGAGGTATAAGAGAAAACTTTTTGAAAAGAGTGCGAACATTTTAGAAAAGCAACACTGCCTTGGAGAACAAACTGCACTTTGGCAAAGTAGAATCTTGGATCTATGACAGTGGTTTCTAACCCTCAGTTTGCAACATTCTACAGTATCTCTAAATATTTCAAAGGGTGTTGTGAAATTCTGGAAGAAAAAATATCTCCCAAGGCAAAATTAATTCACTGTTAATTTTTAAGAGTAAATAAATGTTTCAAAGTATTAAAATCAGTGGTAAGGGGATAAGGCTGGAAAAAACAGACAAAAGGTGCACATAGATCTGTAAATTCAAGGAACTCTCAGGATCAATCACGAGGGCCAGGTCACAGTTGTTGCCCAGAAACTATGAACAGTTCAGTCCAATTCTGTAAAGAAACATAGCTCTGGTTGGAGGTGTGGCTCAGCAGTTGAGTAAGTACCCTGGGTTTAATCCCTAACACAAACAACAACAAAAGAAACACAACCCAATGGTACTTAGTGAAAGCAGCTAAATGGTCCTGTACATCCACAGACCTTAGAAGAATAAGCATGCAGTAAGAGAATTTTGTATGTCTAATTGTTCATAAGATTACCTTCCTCTTAAAAAATATTTCAGAACCTGATCTAAATTGTTGACACCAAGTTGGTCAAGATGATAAAACACCATAAGAGAAAAGGACAGAATATTAAAAGTTTTCTTCTGGAAGTAAAGAATACTTAGAAGTATATCAATGTAGAAAAGACAAGACAAGAAAAAAATTTTAAAAAGGCAAAAAAAAAAGAAGTGTATCAATGAGAATTACCTTAGTTTATATCATCTAAGTGTTGTAAGATCCTAATGAAGATTAAAAGTATGCCAAGTCAAGTTTGGCTTAACCTAAATCAGATACAGCCTTATTTAGAGTATGAAGAGTATTGATTAAAAGAACAACTGTAATACCAATGTCAATAAAATACTGACTCATTTCAGTTAAAAAAAATATTCTGACTCTTACCCATATTATGTTCTTTTTTCCTATGTTTTTATTAGCATATATTAGTTGTGAAGGGAATTTCATTGTGATATTTCTATGTATACAATGACAAAATTTACTTAAAACTATTTTAAAAGGTTTCATTATTCTATTTTCATACATTTATATAAAGTACTTCGGCCATATTCACTCCTTTCCTCCTCTCCATTTACTCTTTCCCTTCCCATTGACACCTTCCCCCCAGAAGAATCTGTCTTACATTTGTGTGATACATTTTAGCATATATTACTTGTACAGATGTGTTTCATATATGTACATATTACACTTTAATAAGATTAACATCTCAGTTGCTTTCTCTTTCCTCGTTTCCCCAACCCTTTCAGTGAATTTTCTTGTTATCTTCATACATAGATATATTCTGAATGTGAATGTTAATGGTATAACAACTTAGGAGATGTGTTGGAAACTTAGCAAATAACCCATTAATTTTACCAAGGAGAAATGAAATATCCAACTAGAAATAAACCCAAATGTCCATCAGCTGCTAAGTGGGTAAACAAAGCATGGCTCATCCATACAATAGGCTATGACTCAGCAAGTAAACAGAGTAAATGACCTATGTATGCAATCACAGGACTG